CAGAAGTGCAGACTTTATAAACTCAATTGTATGGAAAGGGTCAGATTTTTATTACTTCTTAAAAATACTTAATTGTATAAAATTTTCCCATAGAAGGTATGACGATGTATAGTCTAAAACCTTAAAAGATGTATCCCATAGAAGTTAGTGTGTTCAATGAATACAATATGGATGATAGTTAAACTTTAATCCACTTATTATTTTATTGTTCGTATTGGTATACATTTTTAACATAACATATGTTTCTCAGTTTTACTTCATGCCACAAGCTTTAAAGATATGTAGTTAGACTGAAGTTGGTTTATTCCATTCACATATGTATTAATCAGTCTAAAATATTACTGATGATTTTTAACAAACTGTAAGATAAGTAAAACGTATCCAACTGTATGTTGTGATTATTGGGTGGTAAGGTAAGAGAATAATCCTATCTATATTTTTCCATACTATCCAAATAACCTTAGAATATGAATAATAATATTTAGCTATATCTTATCCGAAGTAAACTATCAAAAGTTGTCAACAATATCAAGAAATACAATTAATATGTGTTGGTCATTCAATAAGTAACCAATGCTATATTTCCCAGTGATGATTACTGATTTGTTTGAATGTAACTTCTATACAACTTAAACTACACTAAATCATGATATAGTGTACTTGATTTTGATTTGTAAATAAAAATGCTTTAAAACATAGTTTTAATTCGTCAAATAAAGCATTCAAATCTTTAACACAAATTCATGTGCGATTCAAGATCCAAACTAGTATCAATCGTTATAAGAAAAAGTAACGGATTGACGATGTAATTTCAGACAATTAAAATTGAAAAAACCTGATGAAAAGTGAAATTTTCCAAACAAAAATAAATGGAAACCAAAGTAGTTTAGAAATGATTTTTACCACAAGTGGATGCTCTTGAACAAAAATTGTTTAAAAACTAAAATTCGACTTAACCGGTCTATGATGATTAGTATAGTTTAAAACAAGTACTAATTTATAGACACACATCCCTCTTCATTGAATAACATAACTTGTTTAATTTATTCGCTATTAAGTAATAATCATTGCCCGAAATCGAGTAGACATATAATATCAGTATTTAACATTTCTAGTTATATAAACAGTTCTACTGTATAGCACATTTACTTATTCATGAAAACATTTTATTATGTTCTGTGTAAGAGATGTTTCCCATGCAAAATTTGATGAGAATGTGAAAGAATTTTGTAAATCCCTCGATAGTTAATTAAAATTATTCCAAGTCTTCTAGTTGAATTGATTTAGTTTGTGAAAAACTAACAAAATTTTGTTATATGGATTCAGATTTCTTTATATATGCATATTTATTTAAAAAATCCAATTAGATTACACAGTGATGTGAACAGTAATAATTATTATAACGAAATTTTTGCCCATAAAGAAAATATAATCAACCTCTGAATTCAAATAGTAAGTAGTTTTTACTCCGATTACCCTTCTTACTACACTATCTATGGGTTTATTTACTAAGTAGTATATAAGGAATCTACCAAAAATGTACAAAAACTAATCCTAAGGTTTAACTAATTGGTTTTATTGTGAAACTCTCGTTGTCTATTGGAACAAAATCATCAGCACCTTAACCTTGAAATAATTGGAATATAAAGGCTTATTACAGAATATTTACAATCATTCAGCTGATTAATAGAAACAATCTGTTTCAATCCTATAATGAGTACATAAGACTTCAATATAATCCAATATTTTTATTTTAAAAAATGCTGAGTTAATTAGTTAAAAAAGCCACACTAATGTTGATAGTTGTTGGTTGAATACACACATACATCAGAAATATAATAAATTAGGCACATCTGAATCTTTGTAGGCTAATGCGTATGTCACTTTTTCTTATCATATCTACTACGTATGTTACACACAGTTAACCTTCATTAGGTCTTGAAATAACGATGTAACAGAACAATGAGATCAATAATAATAATGCTATGAATTTAAAGGAATTATTGAAAATTACACCAATTAAACACTTTGATGAACATTACTAATAAATAGATATGGTCCTTATATTTATAATGAATGGATTATTTCTTTCTCTTACTTGTTGAGTAAATGATCAAAATAGAATTTTATCTACATTTTATTTAAAGAAATGTTATTGAACTAAATTATAAGGCATACAAACCTGTATTTTCAAGATAAATATATATGGGCTTCATGAATGAAAAAAAGAATCTATGCTACATCAAATGTACGCGAATATGTAGAATACGAATCAATAAAGTTATAACTTACCCTTCAAATTAGTAACTCACTCAACCTAAGATATGAGTATCATTTTTAACACATACATATGAATAATCATAAAATACGATGAACACAACTACTATTCTAAAATTTCTTATGTTTTGTCTAATGAAGCCGTGATTTATAAGTTAAAGGATTCAACTTGTAAAAGTGAGATCGCATACTTGGGATTCATAAAAGTCTTACGTTAGTTCACAAAAAACTTGTAGTAAAACTATACAATAGCTATATTTTTAAGATCAAAAGAAAATGTTATTTCTCTTTAGTTAATAAGGTAATAAAAACTCTATAACATTTTTACATTAATTATGAAGTATATAACAAAATCTTTTATGATGATCGCTTTTCTACATTTTGTTTCCTTATAATACGTTTTAAAATGAAAAAAAAAAGATTAAGAATCAAACGATGCGTATTAAGAATATAATAATATGAAGCATATCAAACAAAGAAGATTACAATTACACTGACCTATATTAGGCTAACACTTTACTGATGAATTATATAGTTACATTTTATAGTTTGTACACATCTGTAATAATGAAAATACCAATGTTTAAACTTAAAATTTTGACATTATTTCGTATTACAAGTGTATATAGATGTTTCAAGCATACTATCTTCACTAACCATTGTATACTCTCACATGGATATACACACATATATTATCGATCTGTTTCGATGTCTTCATATAACAACAAGATTAAACACAGTTTAATATATATTTAAACAATAGTTTTTCACAAGATGAAAACAATCCGCATTCTTAAAAAAAACATTTTGTAATTATGAATAATAATTTAAATGAAATTTTAAATACTAAGAGAGTTCGTATTATAATAAAGTAAAAAGTCAGTTAGCTAGTAATTGTTCATTTAAGAAATGATATTATGATTTAACGATTTATGTTCCTACAATTTACATCAACGCAATTCCAAAGTAACATACGGTATACATTTAAGAAAAAAAAAGTCAGTTATACAAAATATTTAACATACAGTATATTACTTAATAAGAATAGATGAAATCTAGCAAACAATATTATTATATCAATAAATGCAATATTTAGTAAAGTATAACAAATAAATGAAATTGTATAACTATCGAGATCCATTATGGGGTATATTCTCCTAAAAATTCAAACTTAGATTTTAGCTATTGTAAAGACTTTGACCAGTAAAATTTCCAACTATCATCAAGGCTCAAATGAACAGTAAACAGGAACATGAAATAGTTGCTACATCTCGATATCTCAAAATCCCTGTATATTTTCAACCAACTATATAACTAAGAGTCATTGACTGTTAAACTCAGTCTTATTAGTGGATGCAAGCTACCTGCTTGAGATTCACTTTAAGTTACTGTGACCAGTGGTTAGAGATCCTAAGTTTTAAATGTGTTTTATACCATTTATTCAATGAATTTGTTCATTCTTTTCGATAAATATTATTTATTTTTATTGTTTTTTTCATTAACATCATTAATAATATTTTATTGTTCACGTTGAAAAGTTCATCTCTTTATCCTGTTGAGGTGTGGCAACTTAAACTAATGGTCATGTGCACTTATGATTGACTAACTGATATAACTAGGAACAATAAGTGTTGATATTGTATGGCAACTGGATTTTGGACGATGATAATTACTTAATAAATAAATAAATAAATTAAACAATTCATTATAGTATTCAATAAATAATTATGTGTTTATAAATCAGTAATTGTTTTAAACTACACTAATGATTACAGGGAATAAAAATCGAAATAAATTTTAAAAACGATTCGATAGTATTGAAGATAGAAATGAAAAATTCTTTACGCAATATAATACATTATCATAACGAAAACATCTAGTTGCAGTTCGGTCGAATACACATATGAACATGCATACAACATGTGTTTTATATACTTTGCATAGCGAGTATTATTGAAACTTTTTCTAGATCATATTCATCAACTGGATCTATCTACAACTCAGATGTTGAGTTTATCTTCGGAATTTAAAACTCATATCGTTTGCTTCACATCATAAGACGATATTCATTCGATGTGATAAAACATAAACTACTATAATAGTTGATAACAAGTGTTTTGATTTATTTTAAGACGTCCTCTGAAGTCATCTTTCTGATGTGTATCTCACTTAAAAATGAGTAAACTCTTTTCGCTTAGATTATGACTAACTCATACGCATGATAATAACACACCACTTTTCTTAATCTATAAATGTATAAATTTTGCTTAAATAAATGGATTTTAATATGTTTGAAAGATTTAAAGCACCATCAATATTGATCTATACTAGCCAGTCGACTCTGAAGGAACTTAAAGATTTCCACAAAAAGTATTCAAAATATGGTTTTGAACTGATTTAGACTTTACTTCTCGGATTATTTTAATAAATTATGTAATGTATTTGACATTCTCTAAGAAAACACAGAAAATAATAATAACCCTACCATTTAATCAAAATATGGAAAAAACTGATAAATTATTCTGTTACATATAAGATTTTGAAATGAATCTCAACAGATACAAATATTTAATATTGACGTTTCTATAAACTGCTTTCGAATATTAAGAAATTTGGACGATTGTTTTAATGAAATAAATGAAAAAACATAAGACTCCTTATTTATTAGAATAAGATCAATGTTGAACGCAAATGATACTGTATGTTTAAACTGTAATCATTACCTTGAATTGTTTTAAAGAATATAACAGATCGTCTAATTGTCTTTCAGCTTCTTTCGCTGCCAACATTGTTTGTTTATTCGAGTGTAGAGTATTAAAATTGTTTTCTGAATGATTATCAGTCAATGTTGACGTACTAAAAAAGAGCGATATGTATATATATAATGAAACTAGTACTTTGAAAAAGGAGCAGAATATCATTATGAGCGTTAATATTTATCACAATTTAGGTTGAGATATTATAAATAGCTGAATTTTCTGGTATAAAAAATTTTTAAGCCAAAAATTAGGACATTTAAGTTTTCAGCGCGATACTAAAAGTCGAATACCGATTAAAACAAAATAACAATTCAGAAAAACTTCAACGTGTAAAACTTACAATATATTCCAATTCGTCGATAATATAAATCATAAGTAGGTTATTTTGAGCTGGCCAGTTTAGAAGTTTAAACTTATGATTAAATTCTAAAATCACCTGAATAATCACATAGAGTATATGTAAAGGATATGAAATTGACGGGAATTGTCATTAAATAACATCGTGCTTGACTAAATTCAATTCAGAATACAATGGATTACACTTCCGACAAGATTAGTTTAACAGAGAACCATTATACTGAACACCTTTAAGGAGAAATTAGTTTTACCCTATTCCTTAGTATTTTGACATAATTTAACTGATAATAGTTTGTGGAAAACTACCAACAGAAATTATCTATCTCATGTTTAAATCAATCAATTTAAATTTTTGAGCCAAGTCAGACTGATAGAGATAATGCAATAGAGCTTGGAAAAAAGTACAACATTTCACGCTATTTTGAATGATTAGAAAATATACCCGACAATAAATCGCTTTAAAAATTATATATATTTCAAAATAACAACAAAAGTTGCACTGACGTTAAAGCCAGTTGCTTTAACTCTAGTTGCTATGTCAATTCGGAACCGCGATATAAAATTATTAAATAGCAAAGGAGTCTAACAAATAGTAGTGTCAACAGTATTGAGAAAAACTGAATGTTGAGAACATAGCGCAATAACATATGGAAATAAGGTGTGCACGAGGAAGTACTAGAACTTAAGATCCAAGGGAAAAGACTGAACAAATCTGTTACAGTATAATTGACTCTTAACCATGTTACACAAGGTCTTCAACTACTGTTTATAGTGATCTTATGAACCCAGGACAAAGTGTAAAATTAATCCAAAAAAATTGTGATTATTTATGTTCATGTACCATTAAAATAGACCTTAGCAACTCATGTTTCAGGTGTATTTAAATTTCTGAGTGGTGTAATAGGGGCAGGCTAACAGTTGATGGTTTCGAAATTGTTTTACCAAGGCAGTTTAAGGTCACAACTAATTACTTTCCAACCTCTCCAATGCTAGTCACTGACGAACAACTTAATAACTAATTACTTAACGTATATAAATGGATAGTGTAGTAAGAAGACGAAGATTATCTTACTACACTATTGAAATATATAAATTGAATTTGTTACACCAGTTGTTGAAGACTTTCAATGACTGAACCGATTCTCTGATCATTTTTATTTAGGATCGTATACATGACTTCAGCACTACTCGATTGATTTCTATTAGAAAAGCAATTTTGAAGAATAAGTTAAGCAAAACAAATATTGATTTCTAACGTATCGTTATGACTAATACAAATGTAATACAACTAATTGATTTGAAACCATCGATCATTCAGTAAACACTGTTTAAAATACGACAAAGATATCCATGAAAATAACAATGAGTTACCAAGACAGTAATACAAGAGTTTTAGTAAAACAAAGTAGTAATGGAACTTGGAAGATTTATCCTTCACTACACAATGACTGTAGACATCAGTTTTTAAACGTAATGGAAAATGTAAAATCTTGAAGTAACGAATAATTCAGATGAGATTCGATTAAAAAATAACTATGAATTACATGTGCATTAATTAATTGTCCACAATCAAACTTTAAAAAGTGAGAATTCTAATTTTCCTCACATTTGTGGTGATATAATGGGTGAAATATGAACATATATAGGTGGCTCGGTGTAAAAATTGAACTAGGTTCTTTATATTTGGTGATATTTTGATTCGAACGTTCTGGAAATAATTTATCTTCTCCAACAAAAAAATTGTTCTACGATTAGTTTTTATTAAAGATAATAGACAAAAGTTAGTTTTCATCGTTATTCGTTCTGTGATTAATCACCATTTAAACAGTTTAAATCATGAATTAACTTTAGCCAAACAATCAACTCAAACTGGCTAAAGTGAGAAGTGTAGACAACAATCTGATAATATAGGGGCTCACAAGTAAAATGCTTGAAACTTGTAAGTCCTGGTTTTATTATCTGAAAGAAGAGTGGAAGTACATTGTCGAAAAGTTCCGAACGATAAGATGAATAGATGGATGGTGGCCAGCAGTGGAATCTAGGACGCGCGTTTCGTCTCATTAAAGACTCGTCAACTGGATGTACTTGCAGCTCAGATCACCACGGGGCTCGAACCTAGTACGGTTCACTCTTAACGTCATCGTGTTATCCACTAAGCCACTGAGTTCAGTTAGTCCAGTGAAAATCGACTATGGGATGCATGTATATCCAGCAAACGTGTCTTAAGTGAGAAGAAATGCAAGTGCTGAATTGCACTGCTAGCCGCCATCCATCTCTGTTTATAATGTTCATGGCTTGAGGCAATAAGCACAGGATGCACGTTCGACAATAGGAGACTGACCAACTGCAGTTCTAAACATCAATGGAGAGATTCAAACAACCAATACAAAAATGAATTAAGATAAATTGAATATTTCCAAGTGGACTCTAGTAAGTATAGTTCTGCGTAATGAGAGTTGAAGAATTCTTGCAAAGGAGTGTCAGGTTCCTCTGCGTAGTTATCACTACCAATGTTCAATTTGGTAATTTCGAATAAACTAAGCATTGGGGAGATTAGTATAAATAATATATACCTAATGTCCCAATAACTCCGCCTGGAGACCCTATGAGGCTCCCTTAGAAGAGTTATGACGTCTCATGATAAAAGCCGAGTTCTTTCGGAATTCACGAGGTGGATGCTTCTTCTGACAACCAGAGCGACCATAAATTTAAGTACACGGAATGCTCGTTTAATGTGGGAGACCAGAAGAGTCATCCAAGTCGCTGCATAAATGAAAAAAATACAACCTGAAGGTGCTTGGAATGAGTGAAACACATTGGGCGCAGGTTGGACAATAAATACAAGCTTCAGAGGAGCTTCTGTTATACTCTAGCCATGAAAAATAAAATGCTCCACATACACAATGAGTTGCACTGATGCTATCCAAACAAGCACAAAATGAACTAATAGGATGGGAATCTCATGGACCAAGGATCACCAAAGCCTCCTTCAAAACAAAGAAAAAGGGCATTACAATTTACGTCATCCAAGGTTATGAGCTTGCCAACGATTACAATGATGTTGAAGAGCAATTCTACGATAGGCTGCAGTCAATCGTTGAGAAACGTCAAACAAAGGACTTGACCATTGTGATGGGAGACCTAAATACCAAGGTGGGAATGAACAACACCGGATATGAAGATATCATGGGAAGAAATGAACGAAAGTGGTAAGTGATTTGCAAACATATGTGCCCTCAATAAACGGAATATAGATGGAGGATGCGGAACGTGACAACCAAGAGAGGAGCTGATATAGCCTCAGATAATCACTTGCTGGTCGACAAGATGAAACCGAAACTCAAGAAGCACTTAACAACGGTGCGGACAATATCACAAAAGTTTAATACATTTCTTCGGAATACCGATAGACTCAACAAATTCAAGATAGTCCTCAGCAATAGGTAACAGGCCTTCGGCGATCTAATCACTAGAGAGGGAACTATTATGACAAACAACTGGAAGGGGGTAAAGGAGGCAGTCACTTCAATATGTCATGAGGTTCCAGGCCACAAGAAGCATCATCACAAAGAAATGGATTACTGTTGATACACTGGATAAGATTCAAGAAAGGAGGAACAAGAAGGCAGCGATCAATATCAGCCGAACAAGAGCAGAGAAAGCAGAGTCACAAGCTCAATACACAGAAGTAAACAAGCAAGTGAAGAAAAGCATCGGAACCGACAAAATCAAATAAGCGGAAGATTTAGCAATGACGGCGGAAAAGGATGCAAGAGAAGGAAACATGAGACAGTTGTATGATACAACAAAGTAGCTCGCTGGAAATCATCGTAAACCAGAACGACCAGTGAAAAGCAAGGAAGGTAATACAATCATCAACATTGAAGAACAACGAAACAGATGGGTAGGGCACTTAAAAAAACTCTTGAATCGACCAGCCTCACTGAACCCATCAAACATCGATGCAACACCAACGGACTCCCCAATCAATGTTGGCCCACTAACAATTGAAGAGATCAGCATGACCATCAGACAAACCAAGAGCGGCAAAGCGACGGGACCAGACAACATTCCAGCAGAGGCACTGAAAGTAGATGCAGCAGTAACTGCAAAGATACTCCACATTCCCTTCAGCAAGATTTGGGATGAAGAACAAGAAACAACAGACTGAAAAGAAGGACACCTGATCAAGATATCGAAGTAAGGTAATCTCAGTAAATGTGATAACTACAGAGGCATCACTCTACTCTCAATACCAAGTAAGGTCTTCAACAGGGTGTTGTTAAACAGAATGAAGAACTCCGTAGACGCCCAACCTCGAGACTGACAGTCTGGTTTCCATAAGGATCGGTCGTGTACCGACTAAATCGTAATACTATGGTTCGTTGTGGAACAATCGATTGAATGAAATTCATCACTGTACATCAACTTCATTGAATACGACAAAGCATTTGATAATGTGAACTGGACAACACTATGGAGGTTTCTTCAACACTATGGCGTGTCTGAGAAGGTAGTCAATATCATACGGAATTCCTATAGTGGATCAAACTGCAAAATCGTTCATGGAGAACAGCTGACAGACTCGTTGGGAGTAAAGATCGGTGTCAGGAAATGTTGCTTACTCTCACTCTTTCCCTCTCTCCAGGTGATCGACTGGATCATGAAGACGTCAATTTTCAAGACAAATGCCAAGGCAGTTCTACTGCATGGAGAACTAAGAAAGCTATCATTCAGAAGATACAAGTGTTATTAACAGTTATCTACGCAAAATACTTCGGATCCGTTGGCCAGACACTATCAGAAACAACCTACTGTGGAAGAGAACAAACCAGATCCTAGCAGACAAAGAAATCAGGGAGAGGCGCTGAAAGTGGATAGGATACACAGTAAGGAAAGCACTCGACTGCGTCACAAGGTCAGCCTCCACTTGGAATCGTTGAGGCCAAAGGAAAAGAGGGAGACCAACGAACAAATTACGCCGAGAAATGGAGACAGACATGAAAAGAATGAACAACAATTGGACAGAACTAGAAAGGAAGGTACAATACAGAGTGGGTTGGAAAGTGCTGATCAACGGCCTATACTTTATCGGAGGTGACAGGCGTCAGTATGTAATATCCCAATGAGTAAACAAAATTCGATATCCAGACATTTCGTGACTTAGTATAAGCCACTTCTTCAGAGGAATGGCTTATACTAAGTCACGAAACGTCAGAAAATCTAGTTTCCTCTACGTTATGAAAGTGAATAAAGTTTACAGTTTTATATTGATTGACTTCAATCTTCACATCCAAACACAACTTACAGTCATCGTGAATCACTGTTCACTGTACGAATTCGGTAAATAGAATTTCATTAACACTTTGCACTAAACAAAGTAATGTTATTTACATTTTAAAGATTTATTCATAATTTCATTAAAGATAAACATAATTAATGATAATAAGATTTGAGTTGCTCAACACATGATAAAGTTCAACATTGTTTTTAGTAAATCTAATATGAGTTGATAATTCTTTTGTAAACAACAAAATTAGGTGACATTGGTAGAAAAATAAACACACTGATAAACTTACAAAAATATTCACAACTTTCCAAATATTATAATTCTCTTAAAGAATATCTTTGAATCATAATATGTACTGGAGCAATATATATATATATATATATATATATATATATATATATATATATATATATATATATATGAATAGATACAATATAGCCAATTATTTCATTGAAATAGATTGTTTTTTAGTTACAATGTATCATACGATCAGAAGTAAATGATCTTTCAAT